CATACAGATCAAATGAACAGAATTTAGAGTCCAGTGATTAGTATTCACAGTCTTGGAGGCTGTTGAAATCTTAAGCATAGTTGTTCTCTTTCTGCCCAAGTCCTCTTTTCCTAAAAATGAGTCCCTAACTGAACTCTTTGAACTGTCAAGTATTCTTTCTGTGTTAATGATGTCAGAGATATCAGGATATTTCCACTGAGGCTCTTTAAGTAAGGGGTATTTCTGTACTAATCTGAGATCTGGTGAATGCTTTCTAAGATCATTTTCTGACTCCTTGCCTAAGCAGAGGCCAGTCTCATTGGAATTTTCAATGTACGCAGGCAAGTAGTCTAATTCTGTCAACACAGATTTATCCTTCCGAGATGTGGCAAGCATGTTATCAGGGAGCTCAGAAATCTTCACTGTGCTTTTGGTGACAGCACAGGGCTCCAGATAGACTACTGGCATCTTTCCAGCATCTAATTTGAACATTTTAGCTTTAGCAACACCTGATGGGCTACTTGGTAGCCATTCAGAAGACGAATGGTCAGCTTCGAGGTTATCAACTTTATTGTGCCTCTTTAGCTGCTTCTCTAGTATAGGATCATCATCACTGTTTGAGTATACATCTGTTTCCTCATCCGTCTCTTCCTGTTTCACAGTGACCCCTTCTGGGAACTCACCAAGTTCATAGTCATATTCATCTAGAGGCTCCTCTTTAATGACAACATTGAAGGTTCCATTTGGATCTAATGGTGATGCCACATGGGAACTGTCTTCAAAATTGTTGGCAACAAGTCTGGAGAGACAGGGGAGGGAGGGTTAAAAAGGACAGACCTTTCCATAAATAAGACTCAAGAAAAGAAAAAAAAAAGGTTTTTGGAAACCAAGTAACACATCAGATTTCATGAGCCACTCTACAGAGAAACACTCTAGAACATAACAAAAATCTCAAAAGCAGTTTAACATCACATTTTTAAATTTCCCTCAATTTCTGTGAGCAATTGACAGAAAAAGTCATAAGTAAAGTTTTAACAAGTAACTAACTCTCTTATCACTATATCAAAAAGCAAAATGTTATAACACTTATTTTTCTAATGGTATTTTTCAAATGAACTCAATTTTGAAAGTCAGCTGGCACAAACCCAATATCAAACTCTAGAAACCTATATACTGAGTAACAATTGACAATAAAAGCAAACAAATGTCAATTACAATTAAGAATTGCAATAAACATCAGGAAGGGCCTTTTTGAACTGCCTGATTTTTTTTTAATTAAGACAAAATTCATCCTCATATAACATAACACTTAAAGCATTTGAAAATGTACAACCCAGAAGTAGTTTTTTCGTATATTCACCATGTTATTGCCAGGTGATTTTTTTTAATGCTAAAACTGAAAAAGTCACTTTCACTATAAAGAATCTACCATTAATTCTTCCAAAATAAAAAGGTAGGGTAATTAGAAGCAAGTACATACAACCCAGGTAGGTTCAGTATTTATAATTCTTAAAAAACAAACAAACGTTTTTTTAGTTTCCCCATCCTCCCAATTAACCATTGAAAACACATAAACTGTACCAATGTATCTTGAGGATGTGTTAGAACTACTGTCTAACCCAATTAAAGTCACTATCTTTGTAAAACTTTCACTTACCTCAAATATGCACAAGCAACCATTAATTACATCAGTGTAGTTACCTGTTCCTTGTACAACTTACTTAAGATCTTGACCTTACTCAAAAATCCTTCAATGAAGGACTTTCATTTCCAGTTAGAATGTGGAAGATCACAAAGACCATCACTTCCTCCATTACAATGAGAAAACACTAGATAAATTAAAAACCCTATTTTTCTTTAAAGCCATTGAAGACCCCTGGACACAAATAAGTCTAAATGAGCTGAATTCCAGAGAGGAACCAGCCTTCTTTAGGTGACCACAGATTGCTGCTACTGCTTTCAACCCTGAGTAGTATTTACACTGCCTGAATCTCAAGTGAACCGAGAAAAAAAGCAGCTATAAGCAAAGGATCTTTGCTGGGACACAGAGAAACTAGTTACACTTTTAATGCCTGAGTATGGGCTGACTAGGATCTGAGAGACCCCAAACAGAAAACTAGTCCTCACTCCCACCAATTATCCTCCAGGAGACTTCTGCAAAATAAGCAGCAGTAATATAGCAAGACTGGCCTGAAAACAGAACTTGTAGTCTCCCAGGGCTTAGATCCCAAAGTCCTGTCAGAGAGAGGAGTCCAATCCCACCTTTAACATACCTGAAATGCAAGGTGAGCTGTAATTTACTAAAGTAAATCACTAGATGAAGAAAGGGGGGTGGGGGCGGGTGAGAAACCTGTGGGACAGCATCAAATGATCTAATATACTAGTAACTGCACTTCCAAAAAAGGCAGGAGAAAGGAGAAACATTTGAAGAGAAAATGAACCAAAATATTCCAAAAGTGAAAGATTTTTAACCCACAAATCCAAGATCAGCAAACACCAAGGAAAACAAATGCAAAGAAAGTCATACCTAGGCACACAAAGATCAGGCTGCTGAAATTAAAGATCCAGAGAAAAATCTTATAAGCAGCAGAGGGAAAAAACACATTACACTGGAGGAACAATAATAAGAACAGACTCATTGGAAATAACGTAAGCCAGAAGACAATGGAATGACACCAATCATAAAGTACTGAAAGAGTTGACCTAATAATGTTCTAGGTCTACCAAAAGAAGCCTTCAAAGCTGAAGACATTTTCTGACAGTTGAGAGAATTCAATTCAGACTGTACGGGAAAAACTACCTCCTAACATCAGAAACAAGACAAGGATGTTAGCTCTCACCACTTCTACTCAATTGTACAGGTCCTACTAGGTGATCAGGCAAGAAAAATAAATAAGACATCCAGATTGAAAAGGAAGAAGTAAAATTCCCCATTCGCAGATAACGTGATCTTATATGCAGAAAATTCTAAGGAATCCACTAAAAACTATTGGAACTAATAAACGAATGTGCAAGATTGCAAGATCCAAAATCAATACACAGAAAAAAAATTGTATTGCTACACAGTAGGAATAAAAGTCAAAAACAAAATCAAGAAAACAATTCCATTTAGAGCCGGCCGAGTGGCTCAGTTGGTTAAGAGCTTATTCAAGAGTTTGAGCTCTGAGCA